GGACAGTGTCATCGAAGCTATCAACATGAATTTGACCCAACTCCAGGAGGCAATGGAATACAGGAGGGCCTGGAGTGCTCTGGTCTTAACGACTAAACAACAACAACAAAACGTATAGAGCTATCTGAGAACATCTACAACATATTGAACAGGAAAATGTGTTTTGGCTGAAAAAGTTACATTCAAAACCACTGTTGTGGAGACTCTGCTTTTTCATTTGTTGAAAAAAATTCAGTTAGGATTTAGTTTCTTTTTGTATGAAGTAGCATTCTATCTGTGAGCCTGCATTAATAGTCTGAAATGGTACACTAGTAATATCAGCATGGTGAAAACTGGGGCAGACTCACTCATTAGCTGGAGTTCAGTTGAATAACTATGCTGATGCTTTGTCCAGCTGCATAAATTTCCAGTCTTGTGTTGCTGCTGGTTGAGATGTTGGCATTTGAATTTCGTGTTGCGTATCAAGTCACACAACTGATGTGTGACAGAAAATACAATGTAATACTAACTTCTTAAGTATCAACAGTTATTTTATGCTGATGAACATAAGTAATAGGATCCTTGTCATTCATGCAGTTTTTTTAAATCTCCCATCTTTGATGCTGCAGGGAGATGACCCTACTGATAGCAATAGTTTTCGGTAATTAATGGCTTTCCCCCTACTGTCTCAAAGTCCCCAATGCCTTCCTGGTGATGAAAGTGATTACACAGGAACTTTGGGACCTTTAAGGGAGAAACTGGAAATGTTTTATTTTTCTCCCATATAGGTGATACTTCCTTGATAATTAAATGGAAATTTTCCTTAATCCTTATGAACAAACTCTTCAACCTGTTCTGCAGTTACATTTCAACAGGAAGTTGGGTAGACATGATATTCATGGTCGGCCAAGATATACCACAGGAACAAGAAGATGCACCTGTGACAAAGTCTAGTAACACCAAGTTCAGTGAGAGAAGCAAAGCTTTTCTATGCTTTAATGCAAAGAGCATTTTTACAAGAGTAATGGGCAAGGGGCTGTGAAAGCGTCCTTTACAAACTCAGACTTTCACACTCACACCACAGTCAGTCAAAGGAGTTTTACTTTGATAGCACAAGGTTATGCTTCCATTTGGTGTTCTTTATAAACAGGAAACTATTTATCTTCTTCTGTTGAGTGTTGACCTGAAAACCTATTGAGGCATGAAAACCTGAGTAAGAACTCCACATCTAAAATGCACGGGAAGAAAAGAGATATTACCAAGTTGAAGCCATCTGTAAATTAAAGAGGTAGCTGCCTGTCCAAAATAGCCAATGTGGTATCTTATTCAGTACCATCTTACACTTTTATTGATATGGTTTAATTTCAAACTTTATATTACATTCATTTTTGGGTGTGGAGTTGCTTTAACAAAAGTTACAATAACTATATAATATTAGTGCCAGAATATTGTGTACTAAACTGAAATTACATCTGAAAAAAATATTAACATTTTCCACGGATACATTATGGCAGCAGTTAATAGGAAGTAAGCATAAATGGAAATGTTCTCACAATGTACCTCTTGGCTTCTGTGTGACAGATTACCCTATAGAATGCCTCTAGATAATTAAGCAAATAGGCCAACATTGGTTCCTATACAACAAGGTTTTGCCTGAATGTATTTATATTAACCCAACAAAATAAACATTCTTTAATGATTGTGAATGTAGATATGAATATTAAAAATAATCAGAGACTCAGTATGATACTGTGCTACAGGAAAAGAAGATTGTTGAGCCTGGAAAGCAAATATACTTCCCTTCAAGAATCTGAATTGCACACTCATGAGATATATTACATTTCAGGAAATGTTTTGATGACTGATTAAAATGTCATATTGTTGTCTGAGTTCCCAAAAAGAATTACATAAACTAGCAGTTCTAAAGCTACATTCTTAGAGGATGTCTGGATCAATTGGGAATTTTTTCATTTTCCATTGTCTTTTGTAGACATCCACAGTCCACTTATCTTCGACTTCTGTTAACAACTCATACAGTCCTCAGGAGACTCTCACTTAGAGAAGAATGAAATGGTGCATAGGTATTCCACTGTTTTTTCTTCTTCTGTAAGACATCTCCAAGACACTTGTGGCACCTCAAAGATTTTTTTAAAATTATTATGGTATAAACTTGTGAATTACAGTCCACTTCATTAGATATCCACATAACAGGAGGTGGTAGTCTTTTAGATGCTAGAATTTTCTTCATTTTTAGTTGCAGCAGACTAATAGAGCTACCCTTTGGGAATTCTCTTTCTAAATGTCCATCAAGCTAACCGAAGATCCTACTTCCCCTCTGAGCACTCTCGCAAGTATAGGTGATATTTTCTTACTGTGATCCTTTCCACACCAGTGAACAAAAGAGTCTAGCCCTGTCTTCACTGTAAGTGTAAGTTATGTTAAACCTGTTGTTTGGTGAGGTGCTCAGAATTTTTTGTTGGAAATATTGAATCCTTTTCTAGATAGTAACAATTCCCAAGGCTTCCTGAAAGAGTGTATGAGAATTAAGAGATTAAAATTTCAAGGGCAGATATGCTAGTTGTCTCTTTCTCTACTAAAATATACATTTCAAATAATTACATGAACATATTTCAAAAGAGACATCAATTTATTAAAATCCACAGGGAAGATTGGGGATGGGAGTTGAACCTGGGAGAGGTGAGTTGATGTGAGAGTGTATAGGAAGACAGAGTAGGAAGCGGATATAGTACCAGAGAAGAAGGTAGGAAGACAGTAGTAGCCAAATCCACAAAAGAAGCCTAATTTGGTTATTATTTATTTATTTATTAAATTTATACACCACCTATTTAGACTACATCTACTCGGGGCAGTTAGAGATCAGACTATAAGCAACTTGGCCTATTGAATACAGGAGCAGATGTTTGAGAACAGAGAGAGAGAGATGAAAAAAATCAGAAATACAGTGGTGCCTCGCTTAGCAATTGCTTCGTTTAACGATGTATTCACTTTGCGATGGGTTTCTTTGAGGAAATTTCCCCATCGTTTAACGATGTTCTCTGTGGGGGAATTTCACTCAACGATGTCCGTTTTTGCTCATTTAAAAATGTCTTAAAATGTTCGAAACCTGTTTTAAATGCTTGTATTCGGTAGTGCACCTTCTGAAACATGTACAAACTTAATTTGGCTTTGTTCTGAGTCTTCGTTAATTTTTGGTGATTTTTTGTTTTCCCCATTTAAATCCATTGAACTGTCTGGGGAAAACAAAAAATCACCAAAAATTAACGAAGACTCAGAACAAAGCCAAATTAAGTTTGCACATGTTTCAGAAGGTGCACTACTGAATCCAAGCATTTAAAACAGGTTTCGAACATTTTAAGACACTTAAAAATGAGCGAAAACAGACATTGGAAAGCCATTCAAAAGCACTGAAGCCGGCTTCAGTGCTTTTGAATGGCTTTCCCTTGGGGGAAACATTGTTTCACTTAGCGATGTTTCCTATGGGGATTTTCGCTTAAGGACGGCAATCCGTTCCCATTGGAACAGATTAACCGGTTTTCAATTCATTCCTATGGGAAATGGTGTTTCGCTTAACGATGTTTTCCCATAGCGATGTTTTTTTGGAACCAATTAACATCGTTAAGCAAGGCACCACTGTATATTTGAAACTGAGATATTAACTAGTCCAAAATGAATGAGTTAGCAGCTCTCTCACCACAGGTTGCTCTGATCTGGGTGTTGGGGACCAGAACACCACATTCTTACAAATTATTAAAGAATATCTAGGTCTTATAAAGGAAACACTATTTGTGGGGGGAAAGAAAGGTATTATGAACAAAGTTAGGCCTTGCCTGGATTCTAGTTAACACAGAGAGCTAAACAACCCAATTTATGACTCAACCCTTCAGTCAAAGGATTGGCAAACCCCAAATATTTGGGGGGGGAAAGGAAGAATTGGTTATTTAACTGTGACCCATCCAGACACTAAGTGTTTTGTAGTGGACATTTTTAAAAAATAGATCTGTAGATATTAATAGATTTCTTCTCTTGCTACTTCAGGAATTTAGTGGTGAGGATTTGGACTGGGGCACAGAACTGCCTGTGGGTGTTACTTTGCCTTGTCTGATAGGATGTACATATAAGCCATAGTGAAGTATAAATATTAAACTAAATGATTATTGAGAATGGAAATGCCTTTTATATTATGCAATGAGAAGAGATTAAAAAACAAACAAAAGCTTGGCAATTTTGAATCAGGAAACATTGATTCAGAAGTTACTCCGTTCAGTGTACCAGAGATATTATACATACAGTACAACTAAGTCAGGCATTGGATTTATTTTTCTTTTTGCTATATTTGGGGAGTGAGGAGGAAGAGAGGATGGGGAGAATAATCCTGACACAGCTCAACAGGCAATTGCATGCCAGCAATATTGTGTTACGGAGTAAGCGAATTAAGTTGTATCAGTTGACAAGAGGAAGGGATATATAAAAGCCAAAAGTCAATTTCACCCTCATCAGTGACTGATGCTTTGATATCTACTAACTTCAGGGTGGCTAATTCTTCCCTGTCCTTTCCTGATAATGCACAATATTGTTATCCAGCCATGGAGATAAACTATTGAGAAAAAAAAACATTTATACTTTCAGTTTCTGCATGTATAATAGTGCTGGGGGAATCAAGCTTCCCTCTGTGGAATTGGAAGAAACTTACCTCCATTGTTCATTGCAGTTTTCTGCGTAAACACATACACACCCTTCAAGGTGCTCCAGAGGGCTGAAAAATCCTTGACAGCTGGGGAAGGGGAAACTTCACATCTCCTTTGTTCTCTTTTGATGAAGTTCTTAAGTGAATGTGGCAGCTTTTGAAATCCATAGAATTTCAGAAATATTATGTTTCTTATACAATATGTATATATATGAGAATATCACACTGATTTTGTGTGCAAGATCCCAGAATGAAACGTCTATTCCTGTCAACATCACTATGTAGATAAAAGTTTTTTTTTAAAGCCAAAAATTACCTCCCGTCCTTCATTTTCATTTTCATCTTCTGTTGCACCGAAGTTGTAACTCTTACAAAATGCAGTACTGTAATCAATTAAAGTTAAATTTCTGCTTCATCATCATTGCTTTAAACAATAAAAAATCTGATAATTAAAATTAAAAAAATACAAAATTACTTTTATTATTGTGCATTTGCCAGCCAGGCCTTACACATAAGCAGAAATTAAAACCACTCTTAAGGGAGGACAAATAACATCTCACATCTGTGTGGTTCAATTTTTTTAAAAAGGGGAGATAGAACCAAACAATGGCAAAATTCAGCATACTTTGAGCAATCCTTTTTTTTTAAGGTGGTGGTTTTATTACTGTGACTTTGGTGGCCTCTTCATCCATCTCTCATGCTCACACCTGTGACTAGGTGTGAGCAGACATACAGACAGCTGACATGCAGCCTATCCACTATGATTCTATTGTCCAATCTCCATGCAGTTAATTATATTTCCATTAAACTCCCAGTGTGGACTGGGATACATATACCAATGCATTGTTCTGAGATGTACCATTATGTAAAACTTTTCCTCGTGTTATTTATTATTTTTATAGTTCATTTTTTTCCTTCAACTATCTCTGGACTAAAGCTACTGTTGTTTTTTTAACTTTGTACTGATAAAACATGAAAAGGCAGAAGGTTTGATTCTAAGGATGACTACCAATCAATTTAATGATATGTAGTGCAGAATGATTGCACTTTGGGAAATCACTTTTCAATTGCCAGCCCTTTGGTAATCCTTTCCCAGAGCAACACTGTCTTTAAATGGACCACTTAGAGTGTTTGTCACAGTTTTCTTTGACCTTCAGTTAAAAAACATATCTTTGCAACTGCAAGGTTGCAATTCTCACAAATTCCTGAGTGGTCACATAGTAAAAACTATATTCATGTAGTGAAAATATGCTTTGTACTTCTGCATGAGCCTAAGTGTTAGTTTTTGTTAACTGTCATGGAACAATGTGAAAGATCTAAGATTTTTGTCTTGACCAATGTGTATTATTTTGGAGGGGGGGGTTAACTGCCCCAAACTGTATTCAAATACCAAACACATCCATGATTGCAAACAAATGTGTGTAATTCTGCTTGTCTTAGCTGTGGGACTTTTTAAATTCCAATCATACTTTGGGAAAAAAAATACTGAGAGGGACCGAATAGTGACTTAAATCACTAGATGAGAATTTCTGGTAATGAAATGACACTGTTAATAACAGTCATTAATTCATAGGGTTGTCATAATTTGGAAGCAACTTGAGAGCACATAGCAACAACGTTTTGATACAATTTTTATCTGTTTTGGTTGAAAACAAACACATTTTATATGTCTCCTTAGTACAATTTTTGTTGGACCAGCTTACCACAACATCAACACCTGAGCCACAAGCTTTTCCAAAAATAAGAATTCGGCTTACAGCTTATGGAAGCGTTCTTTTTTCCTGTCTCTCTGTTTCTTCCTTTGAACCTCGGGTGTTTTTTTGTTATGGGAAGAAAACTATAAGTGGCAAATAGCTGAAATTTGAGGATGTTATTTGCTACCATACAAGTGCCATTTCCCGAGAGAACTACACTGTAGGTTTGTTCTGTATAAATTTTTCAATGAAAGGCGCAACTAAGGTAAAATTTATTGCACATTGTTGGTGAGCTTATCAGAGTAATTTAATAGGGGTTTTTTTTTTACCTTCTGTAAAATCAATTTCCCAGTACCCAAGTAAGGTATAAGTGGAAATAATGGTGAATAGAAATGGCAGCAAACCATTATCAGCCCAGCTCAGGAAACAGAAAAAACAATTTCTTTTGGGTAACAAATATCACCTTACCTCACGGCCCTTACTGTTTGTGAATATTAAAGGAAGTAAAATGTAACAACTCAAGTCTAAACTTGTGCTAGGGTCACCACGTTATATACTTTACAGAGGTCTGTATTTGGGAGCATTTTCTCTTAATAGCATTGTCTAATCTAAGTCTTCTTGAGAAAAATAGGAAGAAGAACTGTAAGGTTGAAGAGCAGAGACCTTAGTTATTTCTCATCAACTCTTAGTGCATAAATAGCAGACTAGGAAGGTACACATTTTTCTCTACTACGGTGAAGAGTGTTGCATTTCTGTTTATGTTTTAGTAATTTCTAAATTTGCATACATAGGCAAACATGCAAAATCTTATATTCAAAACACTGCCCTTTCTGAAGTGATAGATTTCCTCTACAAATGATTAGATTCATTGACTAGTGGCAGTTTCCTGCTATTATTTAGCCATTGCCCATACATCCTGGTAATTAACCAGTAGGATTCTGTCCATTATTAGCATAAAAGGATATATTTTGTGATCAGTAGCTAACATTCCAGCATTTTGGGGGCGGGGGCGTGGAATCTGCCGTTTTGACAAAGAGAAATGGAATGTCACTTGCCTCAGAGAAACAATCTACAAGTTCATCCACAGGAAGAACAAAAATGTGAGACAGACATCCTAATCATAACAGCCTGTACTGGTGTGTCATGTTGGTAGTGCTAGAATTAGTATTCGAGCATATTAAAACAGAACAATCATCCTAAGCATCCTGCTTATCTGTAAAAGCCTAAGATCTTGAGAGGGGTAAAGACTAAACATGAAAGAAGATGAAGTGGTAGATAAAACCTGAAAGCTATTCTCAACTCTCTAAAACCAAGACAAGAAACACTCATTTCTCTTCCACTACTTCTATGCCCACCATAAATAGTTATCTGTTTAGCATCAAATATGGAACTATTCCATTATTTAAAAGCTCATCCATCTTTCCTAACTTCCTCTGTGAAACAAGTTTGAATTAGATGGAATCTTTTCTCTTTTTCTATGGTTGCCTTCCAAATTTTAAATCCACTTGGAGTTACTGTATTCACTTAAACAATATGGAGTTATATTTGGAATATTGTGGTGTTACAGAATGGAATAAGACTCTATTTGTAGACTTCTTTTAGCAGCTTATTTTCTTTTGGGCATGTTGTTATTCTTACAATAAACAGTCTATGTCTCCAGTAAAATGTGTACAAGTTTTATTTATATAAGAAGTGATACCTGTGTAATATAGTCTTTTGGCCGTTTCATAAGCGCTGTTGAAGAAACAGTGATATTTCAGAGTGTTTTTCCTGGGCTCACTCAAAAGAAGGAACAGCTATTAAACCATGTTAGATTAACAAGACACTTTTGTGGTTTTTGACAAAGATGTATAAACTACTAGAAAAGCACATTTGATTGTTGGTACTGTGCTTACATAGTACCACTGGGGCTGCAAAACCTTTAGCTTTATCTGCTGCTTTGGCATCTTTAACATGGGTAATCATAACTAAAGACATTACTATTGCTTTGAAACAAAGGTCTCCTGGTGTTTTAATTGTATATTAAACAACTGCTGAAAGAATAATTGGTTCTGATTCAAGCTAGTATTGGTCTCAATAAATAAATAAATAAATAAATAGTGTCATCATTATGATTTTGATTATCTAAATCGACCATAAAATTGCTAACTGTGACTGTAATTGAGTACGATTTAAAAAATATAAATGGATTTCTCTAAGTGAAGATATGTTCTCTCAGATTAAAAAGAAGAACTCTTCACTGGGAGAGGGATGATTTGAAACTGATTAACCCTTTCTTTATAAAGAGCTTCCCCATTACTGATGACCACAGAATGATAGAATAATTAAGTTGGAAGGGACCTATTAGGCCATTGAGTCGAACCTCCTGCTCAATGCAAAATCTGTCAGATCTGCCAGATGGTTTCTCTTGAATACCTCTAGCATTGGAGCACCCATCACCTGCAAAGATAAATGGTTCTGTCGTCGTACATCTCTGACAGTTATGAAGCTTTTCCTGATATTCAGCCTCAATGTGGCTTCCTGTAGCTTGAGCCCATTATTACATGTCCTGCATTCTGGAATGATTGAGAACAGATCCTGTCCCTCCTCTGAATGACTACCTTTCAAGTATAATATGGCACCACAGAATACATACTCATCATCATCATCTTAGAACTGCAGAGCTGGAAGGGACTCTATGAATAATCAAATCCAGCACCATGTGAAAGGCATAGTGCAGAATCAAACTCCCAACCTCTGGCTCCGCAGCAAGATACCAAAACCATTGGCCTATCCAGTAGTTCTCTTGATGGCTTAGTTGTCTGAAGAGGTTCTGAATCCTATTTCTAAGTTTTTGTTTTTTAAAAAATGAAACCTGTCTAACTTACATGTTACCTACTTGAGAGTCGGACCTTGGGTGTCAGAGGATTTGTGGAGTTCCTTCCAAGAAAGCATGGGAGAACATCTTTTGGTCATTAGCTGCGGCCCTACCTTGATGTGGGGGCGCTCACTACCTTGGTACATGCACTCGTAATCTCAAGATTAGACCACTGTAATGCGCTCTACGTGGGGCTTCCTTTGAGGCTGCTGCGGAAACTGCAGGTGGTGCAGAATGCGGCGGCCAGATTACTCAGTGGAGTGAGAAAATTCCAACATATCTCACTCACTCTGACCGCATTGCATTAGCTGCCCATCCGATTCCGCATCGACTTCAAAGTGTTGACGCTTACGTATAAAGCCGTAAATGGTTTAGGGCCTCGATATCTGGCGGAAGGCCTACTCCCACCAAGTTCTACCCGTGTCACCCGAGCGAGCCAGGAGGTGAGGCTGAGGAGCCTAACGCCGAGGGAGGCCCGGAAGGAGAAGACAAGAAATTGGGCCTTCTCGGCGGTGGCTCCACGCCTCTGGAACAATCTACCTCCTGGGATTCGCGGGGCTCCCTCACTGGGTATCTTTAAGAAGCAATTGAAGACATGGATGTTTCAGCAGGCCTTTCCTTCAGACAACTCCTGATGTTTCTTTTCTTTTCCTCTGCACTTGGTTTCTATTCTTGTAAAGTTTTTATTATTTATGCTATTGTATGTATGTTTATTTTTATTATCTGATGATGTTAGCCGCCTAGAGTGGTCCTGAGTTGGCTAGATAGGCGGGATATAAATTAAATAATTAAATAAATAAACAAATAAATAAATAAAAAATAAAAAATGTTAAGAAGACCCACATGGAAACAAAGTAATATATAAGGGAAATCTGAACTGGGGAAAACAGCAGAGGCTGATGGTTGTTTTTTCTGGTACATTGGTGCCTCGACTTATGAATTTAATCCATCCCAGAAGATGTTTATAAGTGGAAATGCTCGTAAGTCAAAGCACCATTTCCCATTGAAATGCATGGGAACGGGATTAATCCATTCCAGCATTTCAAAAGCAAAACAAAAACAAAATAAAGATAAAAATAAAACACTGCAAGCCCCTGGGGCCGCAAAAAACAACAGAAATTTATGTATTTATTTATTTATTCGATTTTTACCCCACCCCTCTAGACAATGTAAACATAAACATAACCCCACCAGCCCAATCCCACCCTGCAAAAGCCACCCAAAACAGTAAAAAGCAAAAAGCAGCACCTTACCCCCACCGCCGTTGCCCAGCCCAGGCTCCACTGCCGCCATGACCGCTCCCACCGGGAGGGCTCCGGGAGGTGTCCTGGGCTTCCACCTCCACTGCCGGGAGGCCTCTGGGAGCCCGCCCATTACCTCACCATCCCGGGGGAGAAGCTGGCCCCTGTCCAAGAAGGAAGTCCCATGGGGATGCACAAGTGGCCAAGCAGGACAGGAGCGAGGTCCCCTCCTTTCCTCCTCCCTGTCACCCCATCCCACAGCAGCAAGAGCCCTTCCCTGGGGTTGCCAGGCACTCTTGCATGCAGGGCACTGGGAGCCTAGGCACCCCGGAGCCAAGAGAAGCAGAGCGTACCCAGGAGCCCCAGCCAGCCCCAGCATGTTCCTTCCACAGCACCCGCTTTCCCCGGAGGGCCAGCAAAAGTTGGACAGGCTGCGGGCCACATCTGCATCCAGCAGACCGCCCCCCTGGCCAGCCTTCCCCACCCGGCAGCACAGCAAAGTTTGGCGGTAGTGCCCATCCTTCTCCCTGCATGCGGGGCTGGTGAGTTTGGGGGAATCACCTTTGACAAGCATCTTGAAGGCGCGGCGGCTGGTCCCCAAGCAGTGCTCACACCAGGCAGTGGCGGGGACTGAGGAGTCGGCAGCAGCTGCTGCTAGTCTGAGAGGGGCTCACCGGAGGACGGAGCAGCAGCATTGTGTGGCTGGTGGTGGCAATGGTGGTGGATGCCTGGGCTAGGCGGTGGTGGCAGTGCAGGAGGCCTCCCAGTGGTGGCGGTTGTGGCAGTGGTGGAAGCCCAGGAGGTTGAGCATGGCCGGATGGTCCAGCAGCTCGCCATCTGGCACTGGCAGCAGTGGCGGTGGAAGTCCGGGAGGCTGAGCCTCCCTTTTCCTAACCATTGGGGCGAAAGAGCTACAAAGAAGCAGGCTTTTCACCACCAACAGTTTGAATTCCCTGCCTTTCCCCCCTGCCTTTTTCTGTTCTTATGTCGAAGCTCCACTTGCAAGTCGAAGCAAAATTTTGCAAGTGGAGCTGCTTGTAAGTTGAAATATTCGTAGGTAGGGGCGTTCGTAAGCTGAGGCACCACTGTATTAAAGTTGATGGTCTAGCCAATAAGTCAGAAAATAATTTAGCATATTAACCCACTGCCATAAAGACTACATAGAATATGTGCATAACTTGAAATGGTCATAAGTCGAAGCACCATTTCCCATAGGAATATATAGAAACCCCATTAATCTGTTCCGGCTGGAAAAAATATACCAAAAATTAAATAAAATAAAAATAAAACACTGGAAACCCCATAGGAATGTGCTGGGGCCAAAAAACAAACACGCCAAAACAAACAGACAAATAAAAAACACAGCCAGCCTCAGCGGAACACTATGGGGCTGGGAAAAAACACTCAAAAACACACACAAACACATACATACACACACACACACAGCCCCAGTGGAACACCATGGGGCTGGGAGAAAAAACACAACGCCCCTAAACACAGCCAGCATCAGTGGAATGCTATGGGGCTGGGAAAAACACTCAAAAACAACCCCCTCCACACACACAGCCAGCCCCAGCGGACCGCCATGGGGCTGGGGAAAAAAACCCAAAACACCCTCCACATACACACAGCCAGCCCGAACGCGATGGGGCTGCAAAAAAAAAGCCATATAAAAACACACAAAAAAAATCACAGCACAGGAGGGGAGGCAGGAAAACTGGAAAAACTAAACCAAAATTAGTTTTCAATCTCTTACCTGGTTGGTGTCTTGGCTTGTATAAGGAGGGAATGCAGTTAAAAAGGAAGAAATAAACCACAATTAGTTTTCATCTCTTACCTTCTCACTGTCTTTACCTGAATAAGGAGGGAAGGCAGTTAAAATGGAAAAAATGACCAGAAATTGGTTTTGATTCCTTACCTGGTCAATGTCTTCACCTGCATAAGGAGGGAAAGTGGTAAAAATGGGAAAAAAATAAACCAAAATTAGATTTGATCTCCTGCCTGGTCAGTGTCTTGGCCTGTATGAGAAGGGAAGGTAGTAAAAAAATAAAATAAATCTAAATTGAGTTTTGATCTCTTACCTGCTCAGTGCCTAACCATAAGATATGTTGTTTTACCTAGAAGATAGTTATGTGATATGTATTAACATTTATAAACCACTATCTCTTTAAATTTTGAGCAAGTAACTAACACTATGAATATGAAAATAAATACAAGAGAATTCAACACGGAAAGAGAACTATTAAGCTGAACAAGTCAATAGATCCTGGCATATTAACACATTAAATGGGTAAATATTTCAGACACAATAATCTTTAGAACCCTTCAGACTCAGAAACAATATGTAAAGAAGTCTGTTGTTCATTTCTGAACAACATAAATAAAAACTTTTTTTCTAATTATGGTTACTAAGGAAGGAAATTAACCGAATACAATCTAATGAATGCTAGGGATGAAATATACAGATTAATTATGCAGAGTGGGCAAATGTTTCAGAAATGAAACATTTTTGTTTCATTTCCAACAACTACACCCACGGCTCCATCAGAAAGGGGGCACCCAGAAAAGGA